TGAAATATATATGTAGTAACTTACCATATATTTTAATTGAATATTTTGTATGTAAAATAAGCTAATAGTTATCTATAGCGGTTAATTTTGAACCATAGATATCTCTACACGTTACATCAAATAATCTAATTAAACAATCCAGTACAACTAAAAATAACAATATAATGATCCAGGCCGTTGGCATTTAGACGCTCGGATCAGATATGCAAAGTGACTTAAAAAGCACGTCCATGTCATAAAAATATATACAGAAGGTTGACAAACAGATTAAATGATCAAAAAATTAAAAAAAATATATATTTTATAATCTATAATTCAGTTATAATTTTAATATTTTTATATTATCTGTGTCGTATGTCAAAAAGCATTTTTTTTTAAGATGATGAATCGATGCTTTCAAAGCGGGGAACCCAAAGTGAATTTCGTTTCTGCAAATCCATTTGTAGAATTGGTTTGTATAAATATGAATTCAAAATTCCTTTGTCAGTTTTGTTTTCGCAAATTATATAAAATCAACTATAGTATTAGTATTTAATGGCTGGAAAGTGAAAGCCCGCGTTAAACCTATATGGAAAAATATGTGGGTAGTTCCCCACTCGCATTCTTTTACACGATTCTAGACTTTTTTCTTTTGAGTTAAGTCCCATTTTTGTATGCAACTTCCACTCCAATGACTTAATCCTGAATGAATGTACGTCGATGTCTCTATTAAGTTAGTTTTTTAGTTGCAAGCTACATAGTTCTACGTTTAATATAATGTATTATTAAATATAAGTTAAATTTAATTATGAAATAAAACAAAAATTTTAATGTATTGTTTATAATGTATAATAATTAATAACTTTATTTTCTAAACATACACCACATAAAAATATCTGAATCCAAATTTTCAAAAAATATATTTAGATACAAGTGTAGACATTCCATATTATTACAAAAAAAAAATACGATCTATCATGGAACTATAGGTTTAGACTTAAGATTCACAAAAATATTAAATATAAATAAAAAAAATAACAAAACTGCAAGCAAAACTAATTTATAATAATTGTCAAAAGAACGTTTAAAATGTCATCAGATTGATGGAATGTAAAATGGTGAGTAAATGTAGGCAGCGGTAATGGAGGTCGGATCATTAACATTGAGACTCAAAGAAGCTGGATTATATGAGAATACTCCTGACTCCTGACTTCTGTACAACATAACACAAGAAATAGAAAGAAATTAGGTAGATAATAACACTATTTATTGGGCTATCTGAAATGTTTCTCTTTCGTTATGTATATAATAAATATTTTTAAATATGTATCGGTGTTCTAATATACGCAATTTCTGCTTAAAAGAATGATTTGGTCGCTGACATTGTAAAGAATTTTTTCTTGAAATAATAAACTAGTATTATTAGTAAAAACACGAATGATCATTAAATATGATAAAATTTTATATCGGTTTTAAATTCAGACTAAAAAGTTTTGTGATCTATATATGTTTTATAATTTCTATATATATTCAGAAATACATATATAAACCTATTTTATTTAATATGTATTTCGTATTGTATCGGGAAGAGATAGTTTGCTAATTATGTATGTAATTAGTACATTTATGAATTAAAGACAAACAATAAACAATGAATTAGTAATGATCTCTATAAAATATATGTTTCTACTAGTTTTTGCCCGCGACTTCCTCCGCTTGAAATTCGGAATTAGAATCAAATAGATATATAAAGTGTCTTAACATAATATATATATTGCCCGAATATAACTATATTGACAGTCTGACTAACTTTGATATGGCTTATATCTTACTCTGATATATAAACTATATATATGTAGAGTTTCATTAAAATCCGTCCAGTAGTTTATATAGGAAAGACTGACAAACATACTACATATTAAAGGGGCCACGAAACAAAACAATTGTACTATCTTAAGGGACAAACAAAGAATTTACATCAACAAAAAAATGTTATAAAAAATACAGCTTATCTTGAGGATAAAAAAAACTAGGTATCATAACACATTGATATATAATAATCTACTTTTTAATAGATTAGTTCATAGTATTGTTATTTCTATTCTTTCAATACTCTTGCTCCAACCCGATAAAATTGAATATGTCCGTAGTTTGATAACATTCGCCAAAAGCCGCCATACATAATTCATAGAAGGCTCTAATTCATTGATTGCGTAGTGTTATACTACACGAAATACTACGTCTCGTTTACCGAGGCCGGTACAGAGGAATTTGGCTTGCTGCCCTGTAGTCATAAGTAACAGCTTTCGTTGGAGTTTACCAATATGATACATACACTCTAAAATATATCTTATAACATAGCAGTAAGGTCGGTTTTCGTTTGATATGTGGTGGAGGGTGTAAACGACCTTGGCTTGAGGGTGTGAGGGTGAGCGCCGTCTGCCCCCCAGGGTGTGGATGCGTCGCCGGCTTGCGTAATATTTATATCGAGCTGAACCTGCGATGTCTGGGCGTGGATTCACTAACAAGTAACACCATTTAACATATAGAAAGAAACTAATATCGTAATATTGAGAATCTCAAATGCTTTTATGATTTACGAGGTCTTATACTTAATCTTATATAATTAAATTCTATAGTAACATTACTAGTATTTAATAGATAATCAATTTAATTTTAATGTCAACAGTAATATGAACATATAAAAAGGTCGTGATTACTAAAACTAAAACTAATATTTAATTACATTAAATACTTCATTTTAATAATTATTTATATCAAGATAAAATACAGATAATAAACTAAAAATCATTGAACGTTCTTACAATGACAAACAGAGGTGAACAAAACGAAAAATATCTGATAGTGTCAGAACTCAGATATCAAGTCAGACTGAACGCAGACTTGTCTTGTCATCGATAAATATGTATAAGAATTATATACATAAGTAAATTGTAAATAAATTATTTATATATTAAAATATCATTCATCCTTACCGGATGAAAATAATTGGATAGTTACGCGTTAAATGCAATAAAAATAAATAAAACAGATTATGTAACAATAGTTTGAATTATATTCATACTCTTTGGAACTTTAACTCGCGATCTTTGCCTTAGTTTCTTAGTACCGCGTTTCAGTACTAGCTACACGATCCCCGTTAATGAGCTAGCACACTATAAAACAGTAATGGCGCCTTTAAAATAAACGTTTCATTGAAGAATAGCCGTAAACACGTCTGGCCACGTAATATCAAAACAAGCCTCTAATTAAATAACCCACGTACCGCAGACGCTGGAATTCGCGCCGTTTTGCCACTGTCAAAACAAATGTCAGTACAGGGCTGGCGGGAAAATGAAACTAAAATAATTATCATAAACAATAAAAATAATAATAAGAAATTATTTAGATTTTTTATATTGTTTTTAATTAACCAGTTTTTTGATATTAATTTTATTATCATGTATTTTAAGTCAATTTACACAGATAATACATAATATCTATAATAGCTCTTTCATATTCTTAAACGAAAAAATATATATTTATATATTTAAAACGAAAAAATATTCTAACTTTTATCGTAACAGACACATCCCTAAATATTTGTTTTACTATCTGCTTCTTTCGCTGTACTGAGAATGTTTGGCTTATTTCATTAATAATTCTATTTCCACGTCGAACCGAAACCAAAAAGAAATTGAATGTATTTAAAACACATATTTTTAATTAAATAACGTAAATCAATACAAGGAGCAGCAAAATAATAAACAGCCACTTTATCAGTAACTAACATTACGATAATAATGCTAAAAATATATATAACTGATATTAAATGCGTCAGACGATTGTTGATATGAAAAAATCTATATAAAGATAGAAGAATAATGATTTTATAAAATATAACTCAAAATTTGAGTTAAAAAAGAGCAAAAGACTTATTTAAATTATAGTCTTAAATGCTTGCGAATTAAGCAGGTTATTTACAAGGAACGGCACGTGCTCAAACAGCCGCTGAATTACTGGCAACTAGGCCACGTGAGCACAGCTCTAACCTACCATACACATTGACCTACCTTGCTTTGCTTCACCTACTTACAACAAGATCTTGTACACTGGCATAGCGAGTAGAGCCACATCCCTATAATGATTTAAACACGACTATTTAACTAGACTTTATCTTGGAAATATATTTTTACAGAAATTACTGCTTAAATTTATACTATTACAGAAAAGTATGACTTTCAAAGCTTTGTTTGTATTTAAATTTATATAAACTTAATAGAAATTAACGTAATAAATTGCTTGCAAAACTATTGTATAGAGAGTAAAAAATCAATAGTGACCATATAGGATATTCAATTAACTAGATCAAGAATGCCAGTTACAATAATTGTGTCTTTGTTAAACAAGTGTCCGTATCGTCTAGGGTTCGTCTGCGCCCCGCGACCTATATTCAGCCACCAACCCCTACTACTTTCCAACCCCCCTTACTAACCCCTACCACGTACCGCGAGCTCACAATGACGTCCCAACCCCCAACCCCCAAACCTCTATTACGTAAGACGCGTTTTCGAGATTACATTTTGATTTTCGTTTTATGCATCCTATCCTTTGTTATATACGAAGCCAGATATCACTCGCCAGCTTTATAATGTACAGTGGCTTTAATAAATAGGTCGCGACATTGTTGACGATGACGTCACACGGGGTCGAGCGAGAAAGCACAAAGATTGTGAGTCACGTGAAATACGTAAACAAAGAACAAAATCAATCGATTGATGGTCATAAGAGAGAATAAATGACTTAAATGGCTTAAATAAAATAAATATATATATAGTCAACTTCCAAATTTTACACAATAAAAGTTGTTAAACACGAAAATTATTTGTATCAGATTCGTCATTTCTTCTCACAATATCTCTTTCTGTATATAATGTATACAAATATTGCAAAATATTAAAGATTCAAAAAAAAAAATTAGTATGTGAGCAGAGTTTAATGTTGATTTTTTTAAATTCCAGGTGGTGGAGACGATAGTATGCAAGACGGAGCCTCCCGAGTCGCCTCCAAAGAAGACGCGAGGCGAGGAGTACAGCTACGCGATATACTTGGACCCCTACGCTCACTTGCGGTACCGGCCTTCCTTCAGGCCGTGGGGCAAGCGGGAGCCCGAGCTGCAGCACCCCGAGCGGGTTGTCCGCGTCGCTGACTGCGGACGATTCGAGCACGACTTCCAGCCGAATGTCGCGCTGAAACCGCTCACTCCGCCTGTAGATGACGTCACATCCTCTACGTCACCTCCGCCCTCAGAACTCACCGCGCGTCTACTCGACGCTGAGGCCAGGCTGGCGGAGAGAGAGAGGCAACTGGACGACCGGGAGGCGGAACTCGCGAGACGAGAGCTACGACTACAGGAAAGAGAGAGGGAGATAGATAGAAGAGAGAGGGAGATGCAAGATAATCACAAGCCCTCGGAGCCTTGTTGACCAGTGACAGTGACAGTGACAGCTGACAGCTGACAGTACAGTGACGATCGGATGCGCGCACGTTATACAGACGTTTAATATGGTGTACATAATCACTTGCAAGTACAGTAATCGATGTTTAGGATGTTTTTTTTTTTGTTTCTATACAGTTTTTTTTTCTGTCGTAGTCTTCGATGTGTGCCATTCCGTAGGTACCGTTACCTTACGTAACCTCCATGCTTTGATGATAACATAATACTCACCTTATATAATAGTCTAGCCTACGACCGTAAGCATAATTTATACAGGGTTATTTTTTAAGCAGCGGTTTCTGAACGTTTATTTATATATTTTTTTAATCTTCACTCTCGTTACCAAATAGCTTACGACGTGATACTTATTGTAATATACGATTGAATACTTCAAATAACTCTGTATAAACCTCATTTGTACCAAAACAAAGATGTCCGTTTACATTGAAGCGTCGCCGTACAAGAACGATTGTACATTTGATTCTAGTAGACATATTACATAGACAGACATTAATATGTACATAGTTGTGTAATATTAAAGTAATTCATATTAAAACTCGGCCTAAAGTTACAATGGACTACAGAACGTTAGGTTTAAAGAAGCTGAGACATCAAGCGGTCATGAAGGGGCACTCCCGTATCTACCTCATTGTATATAAAATATTTGGCTAAAAATAAAATTAAGCGGATTTTCATTTAGGACCTAATTTTGAGTCTGTATTTTGGAGCAATAATTTTTTGAAAATACAGTTTTAAATCTCACTGCCTGAATTAATTGTAGACGTTAGATTTTATACTCCGCGCCTCATCACACGACTCATCACAGCTCACTGTTTCTGAACGATCATTCGTTTCCGTTTCCGTGTTTCTGAACGTCACTTATTATTTTCGAAGCCTTACTGTGATCGTATCGCTGTTCGTTCAGATGCTCTTTATTGATTCAAAATACGATAAAGAGTCATGATTGGTGTAATTTATATTTATCGGATATAATATTCGATTTGTTTAGTATGTACTACTCGTGGTTTAAACGTGAAATGTGATTTCACTGTAACAAGTGACTGTTTTATAGTTTGGCAAAGCTCAAACGTCCGTAGACACTACGTTTATTATTTGTTCGTTTGTTTTGTTTCCTCGTGTCCGTCACGTGTAGGTAGTCGCGTATTCAGTAAGATGGTATCTCTAGTCAGGGAGTTTTTTTTCATGAAAATAATAAATTACCATTTACTTTAATATATCGTAATAGGAACAGTCGGATAACTTATTTTTAATCATTTTATAATAATTAGATTCAGTATGTACGTCTGTGTGTAAATTAGTTCAAACTGAAACTTTTCTGTCAATGTCTTTTGTTTATTTTATTTTCGTTGTTTTGGAACACGTTTTTTGGTGCTATAATATTTTCGGCTTGGCTAACTTAGCGGTAAATGTAAATATTATTATATAATTTACTATTTATTGGTATTTCTTTTAATATTGTTTTTTTAAAGACAAAGTTGTTTTCTCTTTTATATGTATTTGGGTTTCTCAAGTCGCGTTTCGGCCTCGCAAAGACGAATAAACACTACATATATAACGAACACTGCCATTACATTTTATCACATATGGCTTTCCTGGTGTTTATTTGTTTTTGATAATAAATTAAACAATCAATGTTAATATGTAGGTTGTATCGATGGAAAAGTTTCACTCTCAGTCTCCGTGAAGGTGCTAGCGTTGTTAAACTCGGATTGTAAATAGCAGCTAATGAATATAAAAAAACGTAGGTGATAGTGCTAACCCGCGTAACTAGCATTGGATAATTCGTATCTACATTGGAAGCAAATCAAAATAAGTTAAACATAAAGTAATTATTTATGTTTAACTTATTACTAATTGTGAAAAAAATTACCTTAAAAGTCGTTAATATACAAAATATTTCAGCTAAAACTTTCTTATAATATGCTTCCAATGTAGATACGCTAATTATTCAATGCTAGTTACTCGGATTTGCTCTATCACCTATGATAAACACTTTGACAAGCTGAGATAGTTGTATATAGGTGCGTTTGTAAGCCAGTTGTGTTTAGAGTAGTGTAGACGCTGAGCCCGGGACATGTTGAAGACGCATCAGTGCCAATGGTTATAATATGTATATTATATATTAGTAGTGAAGCGAGGGTACCCTACACCTGTGATCTCATGTGTGAATGTAAACCTGTTACACTTAACAGACGCTAATGGCACTATATTTTTATAATTTATTAAATGAAAACTCATCATTATTATATATAGATTATATGGATGTTTTACTTATTGTCGTTTGGCGGTTTAATGATACAAGATGGCAGCTGTCAGAAAATATTGACTTTTCTATAATCGTTCATTATTCTTGTAAAATACATGTTTAATATAGTTCGTATGAACAACCAGTGATATTTATTGTGTTTCTTAATAACTTTATTGCCTTTTTTTTATATACCAACTGAGTGTAGTATAGTATGTGCCAATTACCAACATCTTCACCAGTGTGGCCACAACAATAAGTAAAACAGTTAATAAGAATGATTGAACAAGTAAATAAATACATATTTTCACGGCATTCGTTTTGTACAATTTATTTAGAATGTAAAGTAACATGTTTGTATAAATATTTTATGATAAAAGCTTCATGTTCGTCAAAACTAATTTGAACGCCATCTGTGGGGATCCGATGGAAACTGTTTAAATATCAAATCATCGTAAGTCGAATGCTTTTCTTGCCAAGAAGAATGAGATTAGAAGAATTTAAATTAAAAAAATAAATTTGAAATTCTTGCCTTTATTGAGTCTGAACATCATTTTATTTACGTTTTTATAAAGAAGATATAAAATACACACTTGAATAGAAAACTTAAAAAAGCAATAATATATGTAATTCAAACATCGTCCGACAGATGGCGTTGCAATAAATGTTGCAATTCAACACAAATATTATTAAAATTATTTATGAAACATATAATTTAATAATGTTTAATATTAATTTTTATATAAATGTAATCGTAACGAGCATAATCTGTTGCGGCTGTATGCGTCGGGCATGTTGTTTATGTACTGTGTGTGTTCAGAGGCGCCGCCATCACGCCACCCTTGATACACGAACCTGCGCGTGGGTGTGAGCAACAAGACAGATAGTATATTGTAATGTACCTGATAATTAGAATGCTAAGTTATAAGTAATGGTTCTGTTATGCACACATAGTCGTAACCGATGTGTGTTTACTTGGGAAAGCTTGACTACCTTGTGGAGCAATAAATGAAATAATTTTCAAATTGTCTTATTTATTTAACACCTGACTAGTAACGACAAACTTGGCTGACTAATCTTCACTTATAATATGTTTACTCTAGTCTACTTTCATAACCATGAGTTGGTTTAATATTTATTAATGACAAAAATACATATTTTGCATCTATACTGATATTTTGTCAAAATTTATATAAATATCCTTGTTTAGATTCCTCATAGAATTGTATTAGATGTATTTGTTTCTCGAAGGAAATATCTAATAACTAATAAGTATGTACGTATCTTTTAAATATGTTTTAGGTCGTTCAAACCCTTGTTCGAGCATTGGGTGTGGTTAATATTCAAGATTTTAAGAGAAAGCTTGTTCAAGGATGCATAAATATAATATGCATCTTAAAAAGTTAATTACTTTTTTTCATGATTTTATAATCAGAGTAGACAATATAGAAGTTACACTTTCTTTTTTTACATGGCAACAATACTATAAATAATTCATATATTAGCGATAAAGTATAGCATTTTATTTATTTCTTTATCCTTTGTTATTCTAACTATGCATAAGATAAGAATGATGGAATCAAAAGAATTATCTAACAATAGGAATATTTATATATTAGAATGTCATTATTATAAATATCTTTTGAATATAACTCAATGATGCCAAGAATCCATTTTCTTAACATATAAATTTTCATACATGAGACTTACATGTCACTTTTTACATGAGATTACTTAATGCTAGACATATCCTCTTCGTTATATTCTATAAAAAAATCTTCTTTGAGTCTTAACCTACTCGGTTTTGCTTGTAATACATTTAAAGTACCTACATTTCATTATATTTTGAGCTGTGATAAACAAGGTGGCCCTCTAAGGATATTTCATGAGTTATTTGGTCTTTATTGTTAGTATAGAGACAAATCTTAATATAAATAGGTAATATACATAAATTATTGTAACAGTGAACCACCCGAGTGACAATTCGAAGCAAATTGTTTAGCTGACAGGCCAAGGTAAGGTTTATTTATGATAACACAGGTGAAAAAAGCTTGTCTTGTTGCTTGACTGATACAGACAGTCAGATGCTCTCCATCAGAACAACAGGGACGAGAATAAAAAGAACGAAGAAAACTGAACCAGCGACAATTATAATATACAACCATACACAATTGTTACGTGCCAAATATTATCAGCTGTGTGTTTCAACTTAATGATAGTTAATATTTTCATAGATTATAAAATACATAATAATGATAATAATATTTAAGCGTTTTATAACCCATTCTTGTTCGAATGTCATTATTCTGCGCTTGTCAATGTTAATCTATTTTAGGCGGGAAAAATGAATAAAGGTGTTTTTGGTTTACTGAAATCCAATTTGCTTACATATAAATTAATTGTTATATGACTAAATTTAGAACTCCTACCATCTACGATGTTTCTTCTCAAGGCAAGGCAAACACAGAAACTGTTATATGAGGAACATCATACATTCTAACAACAACTAATATTTTAACAAACAGGCCATGACGCATTTTTTTTCTCTTCAAAAGCTAACCAGTATTGAATTCAACTGATCGTTTGAAGCTCCTTTTTATGTCATCTATATCTAGCAGGCTAGTACAAATGTAATTTTTCCGAGTCACATGTACTTGCTAAGAGTATTTAGACACCACTGACAGATGAAGGAAAACATCGTGAGGATAAACCTGGACTTACAA